TCCTGGCTGCTGCAGCCATGGCTAAGCTGGAGTGACCTGGGGACGCAAGCAAAACCAACAGGGTGGGGATTTCCTTTCCATTAGCGCACATGCTGCTGGTGGCCCAGGGCTCTAATGAGAGCAAACACAATTAAAACAGAGCCTGGCGTAAGCATTTAGGGCTTGGCCACTTTGGCAATGAGGTATGCGACGGAGCAGGATGGAGCCATGGGCAGGGAGGGCTCTGTGCCAGCCGGCCCGTCGCCTACAGCCTTCTCATTTATATCCGTGCAAGCCTGCCTTCGGAAAGGGGACAGAGGGGTCGGATGGATTAGGGAGTTTTCCTTTGGTTTTGAGATGAGGAATCACCTGGCTGTAGGGTAAAAAGAAACAAGAGCCGTTTTGTGCTGGCTGCTCCCTGACCAGCCTGCAAGTGCTCTGAGCCCCAGGCAAGCCCCACCATTAGCTAACACCCTTTTTCAGCTATTTCCTCCCCTCTCGGAGGTCTGAGGAGCGGGAGGGTTTGCTCCTGGGCTTGCAGCGGGGCTCGTGCTCGCGTTGCAGGTGGCAGTGGTGCCACCAGGCTGGGGTCACACTGGCTCAGAAACTTTGTGTAAGCCCAACCAACGCTGACGCAGCTTAAGGGAAGGCTTCACATTTAAAGCAGAATGTTTTTTCACTACTGCTCTCTCTGTAGCAAGGCTCTCACTCTAGCACGAACACTTCCTCACAGCCAAAACCTCCTTCTTGCCTCCTTTCGGGCGAGGAGCGGCAGCCGGAGAGGTGCCCCAGGAGCCAGGCTGCGCGGCAAGCAGGCCTGCAGCCATCACGGCACTGGCAGCTCCCGGCCCGGCGCCGTGACGGAGCTGGCAGGTCTGTGCCCGTTCGCCTCAGCTGCCCCGGCCGCACGCCCCGTGTCCGAGGGGGTCCCTGCCGAAGCAGCCCATGCCACCTCGCTGTGCCTGCGTTCTGCCCACCCTCCAGGGACGTGGCTCCTTGCACAGGAAGGAACCAGCTCTGCACTTCCCTCCACTGAGACCATGAAGCCAGCAAGAGCCTTTAATTTTTCCGACAGTCGGCTTTGCCACGTGTGGGCATAGGGCTGGAGGGACCTGGGAACTGCTGTCATGCCTGCGGCATCATCACTGGGGAAACGAGGTGCTGGTTAAGTGACTTGCCCAGGGTCACCTGGGTCATCTGTGCCATTGGACACCCCAGCTCCACTCACAGCCTCACCACCGCCACCTTCAGCAATCGGTTTCTCCTGTCCCTGCACATAGAGATCGGTGGCTGGTGACATGCCTGCAATATTTAGGAGGCTCCAGGCTGCAGCTTCAGGTTGTGGCAGTGGTTGGACATGACAACACAGGCGAGCAGGCACCCACACGGCACAAAATTAGATGTCTCAGCACTTTCTCCCTGCCAGACCCCCATGGGCTATGTCATATTAGTCTGGCATTGTCCCTGGTTTAAAAAAAAAGCTCATCCCAGCCCTGCAGCGTGACCTGAGCCGCTGTTTGAGGAACGATAGGGACAGCCTCAGTGGGCTCTGCAGAGAACATCCCCGCTCCTGGGAAAGGGGCTGAGGGACCCTTGCTTCTCGCTCCCACCCTGTGCTGACTGGGTTCCCGAAACCAGACTTACCAGTGTGCCTCCTCCCCAGCCTCA